GGGCCTCGTCGCGCGTCTTGGAGCGTTGGGAAGCCGGAAAGGCGGAAAAGCAAAAACGTCGAAGAACACTATGGAAAATCAACAATTTTAGACTCTCGGGGCCTTCTTGGGAGACTTGTATGGGACCTCGGGGGCCGTCTTGGAGACCTCTTGGCCCGTCTTGGGGCCATCTTGGGCGTCTTGGAGGGGTCGTTTGGCGTCTCGGAGCCTTCGTGGGCCGTCTTGGAGGCCTCTTGGAGCCTTCTTGGCCCGTCTTGAGGCCCTCTTGGGCCCGGAAAAGCCCTGGAACCGCTCGTCCCGGCCGTGCTGCGCTCGTCCCGGCCCCCTCCCCCCCTCCAAATCGGCCCTCTTGGGCCGTCTTGGGGACCTCTTGGGCCGTCTTGGGGCCGTCTTGGGCCGTCTGGAGGCCGTCTTGGGGGCCTCTTGGGCCATCTTGGGGCTATCTTTGGGGCCTCTTTGCCCGTCTTGGAGCGTCGGGAAGCCGGAAAGGCGGAAAAGCAAAAAACATCGAAAAACACTCTGGAAAATCAGCAATTTTTGACTCTTTGGGCCCTCTTGGGAGGCTCATTTGGGACCTCAGGGGCCGTCTTGGAGACCTCTTGGCCCGTCTTGGGGCCATCGTGGGCGTCTTGGAGCGGTCGTTTGGCTTCTCGGAGCCTTCGTGGGCCGTCTTGGAGGCCTCTTGGGGGCTTCGTGGCCCGTCTTGAAGCCCTCTTGGGCCAGGAAAAGCCCCGTGGAGCGCTCGTCCCGGACCCCCCCCCCCCCCTCCGGAGCGCTCGTGGAGCGCTCGTCCCGGACCCCCCCCCCCCCTCCAAATCGACCGGACCGGGCTCCCGGGGGAGGGGTTTGGGGAGGGGGAAGCATCTCACACGCCGATGATCCCCAAGGGGTCGGCGGATTTTTGCATCGTGCTGCATGACAGCGCAATGCAGCATTAATGCAATGCAGTCCAATGCAACGGAAACCAACATAAACCTTCAAATGCAGCCGCAATGCACTGCAGTGCATTGCAGCAACAATGATGCAATGTAATGTGGTACAGTGTACGGCAATGACCAACCAATGCGCATGTAATTCAAATGCCGTGCAACAGCAATGCAATCACGGGCAATGAACAATGAACAATAATGCAACAACAATAAAAGCAATAATGCAATGCAATCAACAATAATGCAATGCAATGCAATGAACAATAATACAATGAGCAAACGCAATGCAATGCAATGAACAATAATGCAACAACAACGCAGTGCAAGCACAATCAGAAAACAATGCAGGCACAGTGCGGAAGACGTTACGACGCAACGCAGACGCAATACAACAACAGCTCAAGCAAAATGCAGACTCCAGGCCTCCGGGTCGGAGGATCGCGCCACATCGCCGATGCATCGCCGATGCGGCTCGATGTGGAGCCCGACTTTCTCCACGCCGCTGGCGCCGATGCCTCGCCGAAGTCGCCGATGCATCGCCGATGCTGCGCGATCTTCCGACCCCATCTACTCTGGGCGCGTCATTCCACAGGAGGAATATTCAAACATAGACAAAGCATAGTCAGGGGACGATTTTGTCGGACTATTTTTGAATATTGTTTTCGTCCACAATCCGCCTGTATGGGGGTATTCGCGGCGTGGGCAGGAGCCCCAGCAGCAGATAGGCACGCAGCAGGGCAGCATCCGGCGGCAGCGTGAGCAGTTGCGCATCGCACGCCTTCGCCAGCTCAAGCAGCCAGGGGGTATGCTGGCGATGCCGACCATCTCCCGTCGTGCAGCCAGCTTCGGCGCCAGGATGGTCTGGACCGCCCAGCTCCTCTGCCCATCGCGCCCCATGAGCTCAGATGCGAAGCCCCGGATGATGCCCGACCTGCATCTGCCCAGACCCCCTGTCTGCCCGGAGGCTTGAAGGGGAACTGGAGCACACAAATAAATAGGCACAAATAACGAGATTCCCCATATTTTTTCCTTCATTTTCTGGGTTTTTGTCTTCCCCCCACTTCCCCTATTTCCCAGATTTCCGGGGGAACCGACGATTCATCGTGTCTCTGTGTTTTTTTCCCTCCTGAAGGCTGGCGGCCTTGGCTGCTCGGCTGGGCGGCCCCCCCCCCCCCGGGCGCTCCGCTGCGAGCCGGCGCCCTGGCTGGCGATCTCCCGCCGGCGGCCCGCGAGGGGCGCCGCCACGCCGGGAGCCGGCCTCGGGCCGGCGGGGGGGAGCTCCGACCCCTCCCCGGGGGAGCCAGGGGGCCACTTGCGAACCCTGCCCCTACCCCCCACGATTTCTGAGGGGGAGGGTGGGGTTCACTGAATTCAGAGGCTCCCGAGCGAAGTGAACCCCACCCTCCCCCTCAGAAATCGTGGGGGGTAGGGGCAGGGTTCGCAAGTGGCCCCCTAGGAGCGAACAATGACATGGATGAGGAGGGGAACAACAACACACAGACGCAATGAATCGTCGATTCCCCAGAAAACATGTGGGGACATATGGGAAGTGGGGGAAGACAAAGAACCCAGAAAGTATGGGAAGATGTGGGGAATCTGGTTATTTGTGTCTATTTATTTGTGTGTTCCTGTTCCCCTTCAAATGACATAAATTTAAAAATTCGGAGGTCCGCGCGGATTTCTCGGATCGGCGCTGGACCCCCCTGGCGGCGCCTCCGGCGACGTCCCTGGCGCGCTGCGCGCAAGGGAGGGGGGTCCAGCACCGATCCGAGAAATCCGCGCGGACCTCCGAGTTTTTATGTTTATGTCATTGTTCGTTCCCCTACTCCCGCTCGACTCCGCTCATGTGGTTCCAAAAGTCGCAGGCCTAGAGGTTGACACCAACACCAATATCGGCGGTGTGCCTCCACCGAAGGAAGAAGATCCCGGTCTCGGTGATGGTGGTAATAGTCTGGCTTCCAAGGTGGCCGAAATATTACTACCGAGGTCTCAGAGGTCTCAGACAGGCCAGGACACTGCCCGTAACGGCGGCCGCCCGCTCGTGGCCCCCCGCCTTCCTCCTCCTCCTCCGCCTCCTCCTCCTCCTCCTCCTCCTCCTCCTCCCCCTCCTCCTCCGCCTCCTCCTCCGCCTCCTCCTCCGCCTCCTCCTCCTCCTCCTCCTCCTCCTCCTCCTCCTCCGCCTCCTCCTCCGCCTCCTCCTCCTCCTCCTCCTCCCCCGCGGCCCGGGGCTGCGGGCCAGGGCGGCGGCCGTCGGCGAAGGGGCACCCCGCGGCCCTCGGCCCCCCCAGGGCCCGGCGGCGCGACCATCAACGAGCTCAGGACAAAGGCCGGGAGCCAGGCGCCGCCGCGGCCCTTCCCTGCGCGCGCGCGCGCTGACGATGACGATGACGATGACGAGAACGAGGATGGTGATGATGACGAGGATGATGAGGATGATGAGGATGATGATGATGATGATGATGATGATGGTGGTGGTGGTGGTGGTGGTGGTGGTGGTGGTGATGATGATGATGATGATGATGGTGGTGGTGGTGGTGGTGGTGGTGGTGATGATGATGATGATGATGCTGCTGCTGCTGCTGCTGCTGCTGCTGCTGCTGATGATGATGATGATGATGATGATGATGATGATGATGATGATGTACGTCCTGAGGTCTCAGGGTTGGTTTTTTTGTGGGAGGTTTCTTGTGGGCGGGCCCCTAATTACCGTACACCTATGTTTGCCCTGGATCGGCTCCGGCAGGGCAGGCGAAGTGGATGGCTGGCGCTCCGCTCGGATTTCTTGGATCCGCGCTCTGCGCTGGGCCCCTGGCGCGCTCCGCGCGCCAGGGAAGGGGGCTCAGCGCAGATCAATAAAGTCCGCGCGGAGCGCCAAAAGTTTCTATGGATGCCGCTTTTTCTGCCACTAGCTGAGCAGCAGAGGGGTGCTCAGGCTTTTCCTTGCTTTCGACCCCCTGGGCCCGCTCGCGGGCCTCGGCAGCATCCCCGATTTCTACCCTGGTGCCTTACATAGTCCTGGGAAGCGCCCTGGGGTCCAGAGTTCGTCGAGACCGGACAATGTAGGACCCACCATCACAAAAAGACCTTGGCATCGCTCAGACGTGTGCATTTTTTTCCTTCGGCGAGGGCCATCGAGGAGCATCCTTGATCATTTGGCGACAAAAACCACGCACGAAACCGAAAAAAACACAGGGAATGGACGTCCGAACGATGGCGAGAGACAGGAAGCGTAGCTTTTCGGATATCCGCATGGATTCCCTGGGTCGGCGCTGGACTTAGGTCGCGCTCCGCGCACCAGGGAAATTCTCCCCCACCCCTTCTCCTCCATCCCTCCTCCTCCTCCTCCTCTTCCTCCTCCTCCTCCTCCTCCTCCTCCTCCTCCTCCTCCTCCTCCTCCAGAGCCGACCCATAAAATTTGCGCGGACTGCCGACAGTCTTCGCTTTTCTGGTCTTTCGATGACGCTTCAGAGGTCGAAGTTCCGGTTGAGGTACGCAAGCGGGACATACATCATCAGAGCGCCGACAGGGGATGCTATCCTAACCAACACGAGAATGCGGCGTCTCCGCGCTGGAGTCGTTGCAGCTGGTGGAACGTCGTAGGAGACAAGTTGTTGACCTTTAGCCATGGAAGATCAGGTTCGAATAAGGCCACCTCTGCAGCTCGAGAGAGTTGATGTTCTCATTGCCAGCCGGCTTCGGGACACACTCAGCTACGTGAAAACTGTCACTGGCCAATTCGTCCATCTCGGGATCGAGATCCAAGAGTAACACCGCGGAAACTCTTTACTGCAGTCGATGCAGTTGGTACGAATCAGTCGGTGATACCCTGCTTCATTTCGAATGCGGAAGCGTGTGGTTCCAAACGTTACGTTTGCGCCTCAATCTCCAACGCGACCCGAACTTGTCAGTCGAGGACATCCTCTTCGGATTTTGCGCAGCCTGAGTTGTCCCTGATGACGTCAACGTGACCCTCCTCAAATCACATTGCAAGTGGCCAGGCGAAACGCCAGAGATTGGCACTTTTGATCGGTTTCGGCTTCCAATGACACCCAGAAGGATTTGACACCGCATAGCACATTTTGCTCAAGCCTGTGGCTCAAGGCTTCAGTTTTGCACCTGTCAGCTCTTGTGCCTTCCATGCCTGATGCAACCGCTGCTAGAGTATCACCCGCGCTAGTGAACCTAGCTATTCTGGCACAGGCCACCCTGGCTGCTGACCTCATCCTCCATGGCGGGGCGGGCGGCTGGGATGAGAGTGCGTGGTCCGTCCAGGTCGATGGAGTGATGGGCGGGAAGTCCTCGGGGGAGCTGCGGTTCCAGGATGGGAGGCTGGTCTTCTCCGGAATCATCGACCTGAACGGGGGTGGATTCTCGAGCGTCCGCGCGGGCATGGAGCCCAGTGACCTGAGCACCTACGACGGCTTGGTGGTCGAGCTGGATGCGGCGGCGTACGTGCCGAGCAGGGCGCCGCTCGGGGTGCACCTCCAGTTGCGCCACGCCTCCTCTTTCTGGAGCTTCGCCGCCGCCTTCGCTGTGCCGTTCGCGGACGAGGCGGGGGCAAGCGCCCGTGTGTTCCTGCCCCTGGCGGACTTCGACCGCGGCAGCGGCATGGGCTACACATGCAGCGTGTGCTCTTTGGATACGACGAGGATTGTTGGCGTGGACGTGTACGTGCTTTTTCAGGAGGGGCCGTTCGAGGTTCGGCTGCGATCGATCACAGCGGTGCAGCAAGCCCAAAGGTTTTCGTCGCCCCCGATATCGTTGCTCTCGTCTGGCGCTGTCCAGGATTTTCTGGAATCCGCGGTCGAGTCTGGCGCTTCCCTGTACAACAAAGGATACACGGAGCTCTGCATCGCTGTCTACGCCTCATGCTTGAGCAGCCTCGGTGTGTCCACCGGCCCATCCGATGGCGTGAAGGGTGTGGCGTGCGCTGGGCTCAAGGCGTCTGGGCAGGGCAGCAAAAGCCAAAGGGCGTTCGCACTGCGTAGCACGATTGACGCCATTCTTGCAGACCTGCAGGGGGCACCTCGCGACAGCAGCCTTTCTTGGCTGCCCAGCTCCAATGCAGCCTCAGCTGCGTTGGACACTTGCCAAGCAAATTTTTCTGTCGACGTGTCCAGCAACTTCCTACTGGAGGGACCATCTTCCACAGTTTCCGGTGCTGTCGACGGCTTCGAGGGCCCATTTTCTGGCATGGGCATTTCCGGCTACAACGATCTGGGTAAGCACATGGTGGGAAGCCCCGCCGAGTGTGCGGGCCTGTGCCTCGACATGGCCACGTGTAGCAGTTTTGATTATGGTGCTCGTGGAGATGTGGAGGGCGAGTGCTGGCTGAGCACAGCCGATCGGATTAGCGCAGGGAGTGCGTACACTGTATGCAGGGGAGCGAAGCACGACACAAACATAACAACTCGGAGGTCCGCGCGGACCTCAGAGTTTCTATGTTTATGCCATTCTTCGTTCCCCTAGTATGGGTATATTACGATTACTATGAGGTGGTGCCAGCTGTGGATGCGGTGCCGGAGGTTAGCAGTAGCCAGGGAGCTGGCGGTGAGGACAGTTCTGACAGCACTGCGTCCTCGGCGTCCTTTAGCTCCGTGTGCAAGTGCGGTTTCGTTGCTTCAGTGGTTCTTCGGATCATTTTCCAAGTGCTTTCACATGCGACACACTGATGGCTTGATTGTCAGTTTCGGTTGGGAAGGTCGCTGGTGGCAGATTTGCACGCTGGCCAGCTAGAGAGTGTACATGCGTAATGATATCTGCAACTCTGTGGCTGTGGTTCTGACTGGCACACTGGCGCAAGACCAGTTTTTACAAGCTGAGCACCAGAGACCACTGTATCACATACACCTTCGCAAGCCTGTGTTTTTTTCGAGCGGGAGTCGCCGGCCTCACCCCTTTCTGTTGAGACCCGGCGCAGGGCTCGAGCTAAACGGTGTTTTGGCGATTTCGTGGAGCCTTCTCGTTGCGATTCCGTTTCGCAGCAGAGGCGCAGCGGACGCCAGAACGAGTGACGACGACATCAAAACGAAAACGCACAGCACTGCCTGGCTCGAGCCCTGGCCAGTCGTACATATTCCATCGGGGAAACGTAGGACTCGAGTGAGCCGGAACTCGGATTCACCAGCGTTTCTTGACGAGCGCGTCTTGGATTCTGACGGCCCAGTTTTCGTGGGATGTTTGCAGCGGGAGCTCGCGTCAAGCTTCAGATTGGGCCATCGTCATTTTTGTGATTTGCCCCGTCAGGCCAACCCGAATCCCCCGTACCCGAGTCCTGCGTCCCCCCGACCTTTGCGGTGCTTGGCCTGGAGGGCATGCCCCAAGAAGAGGCCCTGCAGCTGCTCGCCGACGGCCTCCTCGCACAGCGCCTTGGGGTCGCCTTTCGGCGGCTCTCCGCGCAGTGCCACCCCGACAGGGGGGGGAGGGAGGTCGCGGCCTTCCAGGCCCTGAGGGACTGCGCGGGACGAGCTGACGCCGCCTTGCGCCTCCCCTCTCCCGGCAGAGCTTTTCCCCAAATTTTCCGGCGATCGCCTCGGAGTCTCCGCGAAGTGCCACCCCGACGGGGGGGGGGGAGGAGGTCGCGGCCTTCCAGGCCCTGGGGGACTGCGCGGGACGAGCTGACGCCGCCTTGCGCCTCCCCTCTCCCGGCAGAGCTTTTCCCCGAGTTTTCCTGGGATCGCCTCGGCGTCTCCGGCCTCCCATGCGGGGCTTTGCGCCCTCGTCCGCCGGCCCCTACCCAGGGCGGAGCCGCCCCGCGCCTTTGCGGAAGCAGTCTCGGGGCCCTCGCGTGGCCTCTCGGGAGCAATCTTGGGGCCTCTGGGGCAATTCCTCCTCCTCCTCCTCCTCCTCCTCCTTCTCCTCCTCGTCCTCCTCCTCCTTCTCCTCCTCGTCCTCCTCCTCCTCCTCCTTCTCCTCCTCGTCCTCCTCCTCCTTCTCCTCCTCGTCCTCCTCCTCCTCCTCCTCCTCCTCGTCCTCCTCCTCCTCCTCCTCCTTCTCCTCCTCCTCCTTCTCCTCCTTCTCTTCAGTTCGGGCAAGTCTCGCGGCCATCTTGAGGGCATCTCGGGGGCCACCTCGGGCTTTTCTTGGACTATCGGGGGCGATTCGGGGGGCACCTTGGGGCCTTTGGGGGCCCGTCTTGGCCAACATTGGGGGCCCTGAGGGCCGTCTTGATGTGATCTTTCGACATCGTGGGAGCAAGCCGTGGGGCAAGCAGAACGCATGGATAACACCATGCTCTTCAATGTTTTTGCCCTGGGGCGTCCTGGGATCCTCCCGGGACCATCGTGGAGGCATTTTGGGGGCCACATTCGGCCGTCTTGGAGGCATTTTGGAGGCATTTTGGAGGCAATTTTGGGGCATTTGGAGGGCATTTTGGGGGGCATTTTGGAGGCATGGAGGCATTTTGGAAGCATTTTGGGGGCATTTTGGGGGCATTTTGGGGGCACGTGGGCCGCCCTCTTCGGAGCCTCCCAGGACCGCCCTCCAGGCTTCTTGGGGCCCTCCAGGGCGTGCGGGGACGTCAGCTGGGCACCCCGAGCGGTCGGGAGCTCGAGGGGCCCCTCCGAGATTCTGTGGTGGACGCACGCGGGCCCCTGGTAGGCAGCAGGAAGGAGACAAGGCTGGAGAGGCGAGAGTCGAGGCAGCAGCCCAGCAGCAGACAACACAGCCTGGTTCCAACAAAGGGGGCTGGCGGATGACATCCGGCATGTCGCGGGGACAGAGAAGGATGGGTTCCTCTGACGCCAAAGAACGCACTGCCTAACCTGAACGGCTTCAAGGATGCTCTTTCAAGTGATGCTGGACGGAGTGCGGCCAAGACGCTGACGTAAGGAGCAGTTCGGGTCGGGAAGGGGCTCGCTGTCTCTCAGGTCCTTCCATTGTTGTTCCCTCAGCGCTCCTCGTGCATTTGGCCATGCGCCTTCAGGGTCAAAGGCTTCGTTCCTTATTTAGAGCGTTTCTTATGGTAGTAATTTGATCGTATTGCAAGCCATTACGCTTATTGCACGCAATTTCCCAACAGGTCTGGCGCTTTCTCGACCCTCATGAGCCCTGGGGTCGGCAATTTGCAAGCAAGCGCTACCAAGCCTCCAGACGCACACTTAGGGCCCAACTCTTGGCGAGCATCGAATCCCAGCTGGCGGTGCTGGGCCCAAAGGGAGCTTGACGCTTCCCGAGCCCCCACCATCCCGTCAAGAAACGATGCCCAGGCGAGTTACCCTGATCAGGGAAGCGTAAATAGAGCAAGCAGTGAAGCGCAGAGGCGGGGCAGCCGTGAAACCGAAGATCGGGATCGGCCTGAGCAGGCCCAGAGGGTTCACCAGAAATTCCTTCGCGGATATTTCGAGGTGGGAGCGCCTCTTGGCAGCTGGCTCGGGCCCTCCTGGGGCCATGGGGCTGGCCCCTCGGGGGACTGGAAGAGAGTCGAGATGCACCAGCGATGCTGCAATACAGTGGAGGCCCATGCCGAGAAGTACCCGTGCCAAGAGACGCCCCTACTGTGATGGACCGGTTTTCCACCGCCACCGCCATAAGTCGGAGGGGGAGGGGGTCCTCCTCCTCCTCGTCCTCCTCCTCCTTCCCCCCTCCAACTCCTGGTGGTGGTGGTGGTGGTGGAGGAACAGGCCCATCATATTGCACACCCTCCCGTCCCAGGTCCCCTCTACGTCGTCCCTGCAAAGCCATCCGTTCTTCCCTGCGAGAAGCGCCCCCCTGGAAAGACCGGCACCACGCGGGCCTGCCATTCTGGGGTAGGCCTTGGAGCTGCCGCCGCCAACGCCGACGCCGACGCCGACGCCGACGACGACGCCGCCGGCGACGACGACGACGACGACGCCGACGCTGCCGCCGCCGCCGCCGCCGACGACGACGACGACGAACCACCCTTCACCCACAAGGGGAGCTGCCTTGGATCCTTCTGGCGCGAAAGGAGGAGAGGACATGCGAAAACAGGTTGATCATACTGTTCGGCGAGGTGTCCAGCGAGACGACTCTGTCAAAAAAGGAGCACCCCCCCCATCCATGTGATAGATGATCAAGGTTACATTTTTCGTCAGGAGTTCCGAGGGAGGGGAAGGAGGAGGAGGAGGAGGAGGAGGAGGAGGAGGAGGAGGAGGGAGGCGGAGGAGGAGGGATGCGGAGGCGGAGGCGGAGGCGGAGGCGGAGGCGAGGCGGCGGCGGATGAGGATGAGGTGGAGGAGAGGAGGAGGAGGAGGAGAGGAGGAGGAGGAGGAGGAGGAGGAGGGAGGAGGAGGGAGGGAGGGAGGGAGGAGGAGAGGGAGGAGGAGGAGGAGGAGGAGGGAGGAGGGGTCTCGAGCGAGAGCTCCATTTTGACAAGGAGCTGCCCTCCATCCTTGTGAGTGCGACAGGTCTCCAAGATGAATCTGCGCGGCGCTGAGGCGAGCGCCCCCTTTCGAAGAGAGAGAGAGAGAGAGAGAGAGAGAACGTGTTTTTTTACGGACGCTTGCCGGGGAACGAAAAGGGGGGTCTCCCTCCCCCAAACATTCGGCGCGCCCGGGAAAACCCAGATCCCTCCGCCCTACCCTCTCAAAGGGGGGGGGGGCGAACCGCTCTTTTCCCCCCGTGTTCCAAAGGGGGGGGAGTCGAACCCCCGTCCCCCCGTACCCGACGCTAGCAAGAACGCTTTCGACGACGACGACAAGTACGACGACGCCGACGACGGCGACAACGTCAGGTGCGGCGGCGGCACACCTGGCGCCTGCGAGAGGAGGGGGGTAATCGCCACCCTCGTCGTCATTGCCAACGTCGTCATCATCATGATTATCATCACCATCAGCATCGTCACCATTCATCATCATCATCATCATCATCATCATCATCAGCAGCAGCAGCAGCAGCATCATCATCATTATCATCATCGCATCGTCCTCATACCATCATCACTCCTGTAGGCATCATCATCACCGTCACCAGTAGTATCATCATTACCACCATCAGCACTACCATCGTCATCACCATCATCATCAGTTACCACCAGCACCATGATCATCACCATCATCAACATTATCGCCATCGTCATCAGCATCGTCATCAGCATCGTCATCAGCATCGTCATCATTATGTTCATCATCACCACCATCAGTAGTACCAACATTATCACCATCAGCACTACCAGCATCATCACCATCATCATACTTGCCATCAGGATCATGCTCATCACCATCATCAACATCGTCACCATCGTCGTCAGCATCGTCATCTTTATGATCATCATCATCAGCATCATCATCATCAGCATCCTCATGCTCACTATCATCAGCCGCATCGCCACCACCATCATCATCACCACCACCATCAACATCATCATCCTCGTCATAATTCATATCGTCAACATGTCCACCATCATCATCATCATCATCATCATCATCATCATCATCATCATCATCATCATCATCATCATCGTCATCATCATCATCGTCATCATCATCATCATTGTCGTCGTCATCATCAGCATCATCATTCTCACTGTCGTCGTCGTCATCGCTATCGTCGTCATGATTGTCCTCGTTACCGACCATCTGTCAGAATCCCACGAGTGTTCGATCCAGCTTGAATCGAATCCTACGCGGGCTCGATCCAGTTTTCAAAGAATCCAACCAGGGATCGATCCAACTTTCATATAGTCCTACTAAGGTGGATCCAGCTCTAGTATCCCATCAGGGCTGGATTCAGCTCTAATGCAATCCTGCGAAGGTGCCCTACAGTTTGAATGCAATCTTATCAGTGTTGGATGCAGCTCTAATCGAATCATCTACGGGCTGGGTCCAAGCCACGGAATCCTGGTATGGGTGGGTCCAGCTCTGATAGGATCCTAGTACGGCTGGGTCCTGCTGTAATAGAATGTTACTAAAGGGCCCACCCAGCGTTCAGAGAATCTTGCGAAGGCTCGATCCAGCTGTAATGCAGTCGTATTAGGTCTGGATCCTTCGCTAATAGAACCCCATGTGTTGCTGGACCCAGCTTTGATGGAATCCTTTCAGGGCTCGTTCCAGCTTTCATAGACTCCGATTGCGAAGGCTGGGTCCAGCTCCTTAGTAGAATCCAATCAGGGCTGGTATCAGCTCTAATGGAACCCTACTGGGGTCTCGATACAGCTGAAATCCAGTTATGGGATGGATCCATCTCTAACAGAATCCTACTGGGTATGGATCCTGCCCTAAAGGATTGCCAGGAGGGCTGGATCCAGCTCTGACAATAACCCGCTAGAGCTCGATCCAGTCCTGCTAGAGTCCGACTGTTAGCGCTGGGTCCAGTTTAATTGCATTACTATTTGGGCAGGAACTAGCTCCAATGAAAGCGTATTAGAACTGTACCCGGATTTCGTCGAATTCGATTTGGTCTGGCTCCAGCTGCAAAAGACTTGCAAGATGTTTCGAGGATGTTTCCAGGACGGCCTCCCAAGGTAGGTGGGCTTTTGGGGGGCCCTTCCTGTTCTCGCAGAAGGCCGCCCTCCTTGCGAAGGCGCCGAAGAGGGGGATGAGGACTAGTCAAAGTGAGAAAGAGAGAGAGAGAGAGAAAACAAAAGAGAGAGAGAGAGAGAGAGAGAAAAAGAGA